TTTTGGCCAAGGAATCAGTGGTTTTATCCACCATTGCTTTTGGACTGTCAGTGCAAATGTTAAGGAGGTGAAAAGATAAATAACATTTCAGGATGATTGTGAAAATAGTTTTGACCTTAAGGACCCCCTTGAGAGTGTCTTGGTGGTTCCCAGGGGCTTTGGACTATACTTTGAAAAAAATCATCTAAGAAAACAATTTTATCAGTGTTAACAGGGTATAGAAAAGTAATCATTCTACGTAACATATCTTGGTGGAGAAAAAACGTACTTTTCAACACCTAACTCATTAAGAAACTTTGAAAATGTGTTCTATTTATAACACATTTATAACACATATAACACGATAGCTTATATATTTTGGTAATTTGTATGGTGCACCTGTCTCCTAATCTACACAATGCTTAGTTTCTAGAAAAGAAGCAGTAATTAAAAAACACTTAAAACAAAATTAACTTTTTGTAAGAATTAAAGGAAAAGGAGGAGATATATTTCATTGAGATATATTTCATTTAGACAAAAATAATGTCCTATCCTTTTGCTATAATGCACTAATATTCCCCAGTAAACATTTCTAGACAAAGCTAATATGGTTTAAAAAGAAATATTTTTTCATAAGGTAAGCAATAACAACAACAACAAAAATCACTGATGATGTTCAGTGAAGCTACTTGGACATTAACCTAGAATTGTTGTTTATTCCATCTTCCATGTTTTTAAATAGGAATCCTTGAAAACCTAGTTTTTCTCATTCTTAGTGATGGCCTAGAATTATATATTTTTTAATCTCAGTGTTATCTCATAGTGTTTTCCTCACCCATACTTAAGAAATATCTGCCGGGTATGAGCCACTTCATTTGGAAGTTAGAAATTGCGTATGTGATGATAATATGTAAGTAGCTCGTAACTGACCGCTGGACTAACAGCATACATGGGCTTATGAGTTTGTAAGGTGTCAGATGATGCTTGCCTAGGTGCAAAGCAGAGGAAATTGAAAACACGAAAACTTTCACTACATTTTTATTTAGTTTAGTTTGACTTTGGTGGCTTAAGGAAAAATATTTGGTCTAAGTTCCATAAAAGCAGATCAGGTTGTACATTTTTTGTAGAACTTGGAAAAATTATAATGAATAGTTATTTTATCATCACTGTTAATGAAAAAAACCGTATGATAATAACATTTCAGCCACTAATATACATTTTCCTATCCTGAATTGTTATATGTCATGTGAATCTGTTGCCATTTCTTTGTGATTTCATCCTTATAAATAGAATATATGTTTCTCAGTAATTGGTGACTTTAAAAATAAAAATCTAATCCACAATAATCCAGTCTGATTTTTTAGGAGTGCATTTGTAACAAATGCACATAAATGAAACCTGTGTTGTTCAAGAAGAAATAGACTGTGCTTGCTTCAGCACCACATATACTAAAATCGGAGTGATACAGAGAAGATTAGCGTGGCCCCTGTGCAGAGATGACTTGCAAATTCATGAAGAGTTCTGTACTTTTCTGAATGGAGTAAAACTGAAAGCTTTTCCACTTAGATCTGGAACCAGATGTCCTCTGTTAGCATTACTATTCAACATACAACATGCTAGAAGTTGTAGCCAATGCAGTCAGAGAAGAGAAGGATATTAAGGGCATCCAAATTGGGGCAGAGGAGGCCAAACTCCAGCTTTTTGCTAATATGATCTTATACTTAGAAAACCCCAGCTCAACCATAAGACTCCTAGAAGTGCTCAAGAAATATGGTAAAATTTTCAGGGTATAAAATCAATGTCTGCAAATCATTAGCCTTTGCATATGCCAATAAGAGCCAATGTAATCCCCATTAAAATACCAAAATCATACTTTGAAGAACGGGAAGACATAGTTCTTCGTTTTGTATGGAACCAGAAAAAAACCCAGTATACCCAAGCAATTCTTAGTAATTAAAAACAAAGCCAGAGTATCATTCTGCCAGACTTCAGGTTATATTACATGTCCATAGTGATCAAAACAGAATGGTTTTGGCAAAAAAATAGAAACATAGATATATGGAACTGAACAGAAAACTGAAAGATGAAACCAGTCTCTTATTGCCGGCTTATCTTTGATTAAATCCAACAAAAGCATACACTGGGAAAAAGAA